CTACTACTACTACTACTACTACTACTACTACTACTACTACTACTACTCCTGTTGTTAACGGACTCAAACGCCGACCATTCGTCGTCGTATAAGTGCAGTATTAATGGTTTATTAATAATAATATATAAATTGTAATAACGTTCAATAGAACAAAATAATATATTGAAATAAATTCATGCAGAGATGAGTTTGTCTGGGTAGCCGTATTGTGTAGTGCGTTTTGGGGAGAAACAGAAAATAAGAGGTCGACGACCGTCAGGTCGATCAGGGGTTCGTAAATGCGTCTCAGCTGCCACCAGGAAATACGGGCGTTTAAATGTATATAAGCATAATATATAGATTTATGGTTTGAACGAAAAAATAGCACACAGAGGGGTGTGTTCCTGCTGCTGCGTTGCGGCCTGTCACGCATCCATCACTTACAAGCGGGCGGCGCGTGCGCGCACGCATACGGCACGCAGCACACAAATATACGATCTGTTGGCTAAATAATAGGAACACCGGGGTTAGGAGTTTATGTTGTAGTCAACTACTAAGCCGATATGCGGGGGAGCGGAAGTAGCAGCAGTAGCAATGGATATTTTCCTCCGTGACCTATTGAAAACGCGAGGGATACGAACTTTTGAACTCGAACTTTTGGCCTTTGGGCCCACTCCCGCTTTTCACTCCTCTACCCCCGGGGAAACAACCACCATTATGGCGAACGGTGGAGCACGGTTATCGATTCGGTCGGGGGTGGAGGGGACAGGCGGGATCCGCAGAGCGCTAAAACAGCTTCGTCCGCGCCACCCTCTCCTTGTTATACCGATTCCACTTTCTGAACGCGCGGGGCTTGATGTGTGGTCCCCGAACTCTATCCTGAAAGGGTCAGGTCCGCGTTGTAATGTGCGCGTAGGATCGATCCACGGTTGCCGTCACTCTGTCCCACTATCGCGTTAGTCTCCTACACGCGTCCACTTTTGGCGTTCACGTACATAACCTCCAAAACACACGTCCTTGAGAGACACGTGACACCATTGGCACCACAAATTCCCTTTTTTATTAGGTATGTATTTATTATATAATATGTATAATTATTTACACAACAGGGGAGGGAAAACGGCGATGGTATAAAAAATAATAAATTTTTTTTTGTTCTATTGTTAAAAAAAAAAAAACCATTCGTAAAAACGTTTTGTAATTCTGCGTTAAAATGTGCATTTTGGATGGACACAATAATATATTATAATGATAATAATAATATAGGCGTGGCCGTCACCGCCGTGCAGAGGCCAACGGCTCCGGAGGTCCGTTGGGCCAACGAACTTTGCCGCCCGGGAAGCTGTTTCACTCATAATACACATACGCATTATTAAACACATGAATACACATCCAAGGGTAAGGACGTTCACCTGGTCATATTATATGGCAAACGTCGTTCGGTCATCGCCGTCGTCGTCGTTGGTGCGTACATCCAGGGCGTTTATAACGGGAGATGTATTTTCTCGTGAGACGCAACAATAATAATGACCGACAACAACGACATACAATAATAATAATAATAATAATAATTGGCAATAATACGGAATAACATTACATTTCACGATAATAATCGCCATTGTGTGATGTGAAAAAACCTAGATTGGTAATAGCTAGTACCGTTTTTTGTTTGTTTATTAACTTCTTAATATGCCAACCAATGTAGCCATACATAAATAATTAATACTATATAAAAGTATAACTGTTAACAACAAAACCGTTTTAGAGTTGGACGTACGGCAAAACTATGGATTTATGACAATGAGTGTCGATTGGTATATATTATAGTATTATATAAATATAAATAAATTAGGGGGGTTTTGGTTGAGAACATTTTTTCAAAAAATTTTGTTCATTCTTACTTGTGTATAGCACCAGTTCTCCGCCACGGGTGTGTTCGCCTCGGACGAAGGAGGCGGGCTAGGTACCCGAGATACGGACATGGTGCTACTACTTGGTGCACCGGCCACGACGGCGGCCGCCGCGGCCGCGGCAGCTGAAGCGGCCGCGTTCACCGATCCCGACGAGCCCGCTGCCACCGACACTCTGGCTGTCTGCTGCGGCGAGCACTCACTCACCACTGGCAGCCTGAAACAAAAATTATATTTTTTAACATTTACTCCACCAAATCGCTTAAAGAAATATCACATATGTTGTTATTTATTGTTTTTAAAAAGGGATCAATGCAATGATCGATAACTTAATTATATAATGAGTTTAATATGCACTCGAGTGCTATTATTACGCATCATATACACCCATATACACAGCGACGACGGTCGACGATACGTTCCTGAGAAATTGATGATTGCATTTTGAAACGATTTCCAATTTAATATTTGATCTATTGCACGATTATTACTTACTAGTGTGTATTACAATACGTAAAATAATATTTTACAGTCAATAGTAATTTTGTCTCGATAATATTATATCTATCGTTCTGCTCCGATATCCGATAATAATAGGTAGGTTACTTTTATTATTAAGATTGACGATTAAACGTTTTACTCAAATGAAAATGAGTGTATAATTATTTTAAACATTAAATTATTTTTATGTCCATTTATACAATTAAAGGCGTACTCAATGTATACATAATTTTTATTTCGAGTGGGTTTTAAGAGTATGATTATTAAAATCGAAAAAAATGTATAAGTGTTAAGTAGTGTTCGTAGTCTTTATTATTTTTTACATTTAACCTTGTACCTTTATAATGCTTATAGTTCAGACTGTGTGTGATATTCGTTGTGATAAATTATATTACGACATTAATAACCTAAGTAAGATTTAATGTGTAATAAGCTGTATAAAGACGACGTTTGTTTTCCTAAATCTAAATTCTCACACGTGTACGATAACAAATTAAAAAAAATATTACAAAAATGTCTAGTCTCAGCTTGTTCAATATACACTACGTTATATTGTATATGACATATAATATAATAAAATATTATATTATGTAATACATACATTGCAAAATTGCGTATGATATTCAAGTATTTAAAAAAAATATGTATATATACATAATAAACCTACTTATAGCAATTATATCTTAAGATAGTTTTGATAACGTGTTTAACAAATAATTAAACAGTATATCAACAATAGAGAATTATTCAAATTCCAACAGTCACCTAAATGATAGTACGTTACTCATTTTCATTGTAGACTATAGACATACAACAACTCTATTAATCCTTAATTAATCGTTAATATATATACTCATACTATTGAATTTGTCTGATTATTGTACATACAAGACAACAGTCATTGTATAATTTATTAAATATTTAGTTAAATACGCGAAAACCTTTAGATGGAAACTAAAAACGTACATACTTTGGCAAACAAATGCGATATATCACAAGTCTTACAATAAAAGTTAGAAGAAACTTGAAAGTGTGATGTGCGTATATATTATGATATTTAGTCCAGTTGTTCTATAATCCGAACAAATTTGTGGCGTTCGCAAAAACTTAATCAGACGTGCGCTCAAAATAGAAACGGGTGATGAAAGATAAGTACGCTACTTTTCTGTATGCATAATCCTCGGTTCCCGAGTTTTGTTTCTTTTTTTTTTGTTTAATACACATTTACATTTTCCTGTTCGCATGCCAAGTCCCATACACGCATTCTTCTTTTTTCTTTCTCATAGCAACGCTTACATATACATATACTATACATCGTAAATTATTATTATATGTATATGAACGAAGCCAGCGGCGGCGCGTGCATGCTGTGGCCCCTGTGGGAGAACACATAATATTGGTCTTGGTCCAGAAGTCGTTCACCTCTCGGTAAACTATGAGCCAGCGAACTGTGAATGACGCTGCTTCGGCCGGGGCGAGGAGGATGACATCCCGATGAACCGGTCGGTCGGTGTCTTTGTCCGCCACCGCAGCCACGCGCCCGGTCATAGACATTCGGGCGGTTACACTGCGAAGATTCTACATGGGTTCAAGACCGTACAACGCCACCGCTGTAGTATGAGATGGACCAAACTTCAGTGCTGGAACTTCCGTTCGGCGGGGCACATTATTTTATTAGAGTTGTTATGTGGTTATTAAAATAATCGTATAATCATGGGTGTTTTTAAATTAACTATTATGTTTAGAAATTGTTTCATTATAAATACAATTAATTTGGCGCTACGACAACTACGTGCCGCAATTTTGCAACATTTCTTCGACACATCACAAGTTTAAAATTTTTCATTTTACTCGCACATATTATATACCTCGAAATGTTCACGAAAGACAGTTATAGGCTTATTGTGATTCGCTATATAGAAAATTAACAGAGTAATGTAACGAAAGAGGGAATTGTGAGTAAGTGCTGAGCATATATTATTAAGAACGAGCTGGGAGAAAAATTATAAAAAATATAACCGATTGCATAAAACTATAAAACTGTGCGCGGTATTAGCGTGGTTTAGAAAACCGAGAAATCGTGAAAACGCTTCTGTTGCTGGACAGGAAGTGGCGCCTAGACATCACCGAGTGAAATCACATTTGTCTAATTATTGTGTTATATACGCTGGAGAAACGATTAGAAAGCAACGGATCATGAATTCAAAACCGATATCGAAAATGTTTTATTAAATTGTTTAGTCGCGTGCAGTAGATATATAGAAATCAAACGAAATGATATACAACAAGTAGTCATATAGATTAAATATCATCATACAACAAACAATATAAAAGATTTTCTAAGTTCAGTTACTTTTTTTCTTTTTTTTTTGTTATTCAGATAGACCTCAACTTAAAGTAAAATAAGACCACACAAGCTAATAATTGATAGTTATTGTTGGAATAGATAAGAACAAAATAGCGTGTAACTTTGTTTATTTTATTGTTTCTGAATTGTCTTGTGTGGCGATAATTAGATAAAAAAAAAAAACCATTTTAATATCATATTGTATGTCCCGTTGCGAACTGTTTAGCTGTTTTATTGACATAATGATATTATGCCGAGCTCGCCACATATCCCATAAGGCCATAATAATATACAACATATTATACAGGCGGAAAATTGTCAACTTTACACCATCACCTCAGACCTGTAACCTGTTGCGTTTCCGTTAACCGCACGCGGATATTAAAACGACCACGACATGCCGTTATTTGTGCCGACGGCATGACGGCGGTTAGCTGTTTTATTCTGCCAGTCGTGTCGGTAGTCATACATATTATATGTTGTATGCATAATGAGAGTTGTATATACAGTAACTGCCGCACGGAGAAACCAGATTAACGGTGAAGCCCGTCAGGCCGATAAAACGATACCAACAGTTTAATTCAGTAGTCGGCAATCTTTTTTTGATTTTCGGGTCAAAAATAAAAAACGTTTCATTTAAAATTAAAAAATGCAGGTCTTGTAAAATATATATATATATATAATTGTGAAAATAATAACTGTTTTGTAAAATGCTTAGTGGTTTTTTCTTTTTTTTTTTGTTAGATATTGTTTATTATTTTTTTAATTTGCATATCAAAATTGTTTGTGTTTACTCTAAGTACATGGTGTAAATTGACATCTTTTAAATGTGATTAGTTTAGGTTTTAATTTTTGAAAATTATGCAAAAAATTCATCAAAACAAGTACAGATTGTTTAAATGACCTTTTAAGAATATCTTGCGATTGTAAAACTATAATTTATTATAAAAACTTGTGAATTTTTATTTTCGTTAAGGTTAACATGACTATTATGATTATTATTATTAAATAAATTGGCGAGTACGGCTTAGTTGAAAATATCATTAAAATTTTTGAAATATTGAAATCAATTATTAAATTTGCCATAAGGGTCAAAAATGTTCTAATTATTAAATCGTAATAGCTTACATTTTATTTCAAAATATTTAACATGAGACAACATATCACATAAATAAATTGATTTTTACCTTGTAATTTTTCTTTTTTGGGATTTTGTATTTATCATTTTGGGTCGGGTTGTATGAAATAAATGCACGGGTTGCAGAGTAATGTCTAAGTAACCTAGTCTACGTAGTCGTCCATATGTTATATCATAAATAATATTATAGTAACATCAGCAACAATATCTAATGAATAAAGATAAATTTATAATAAATCATACTTGTTCCGACTTCTGAGGTGAATAAACAAAGAATTTGATTCATAGTTATTTTTATCATAAATTCTGACGTTGTACTTTAAGTTTTTTTTTTTTAAAAGAATTTTTGATTTGAATATACAACATGTACTACATGTTACATGTACATATTATTTCAATGGATTTTTTTTCAGATTTTGAAATTCAATAGTAAAACTAATATTGTATGTATACAAAGAATTAATGCAAATTACTTACGACAACGACATGAACGGGTAACAACTAGTTGCATCTTGCGGTAAAACTTTTTTCCAAATTGAAGCCCAGGATTTTATGGGGAACATAAGAATTGTAACCCAGATTTTTTTGGGGTATATACGAATTGCGACCCAGGTTTTTTGGGGGTACATACAAATGTATGCGGCCCAAATGTTATTAATTAAAATTTTTTTGAAATATAGCATAATATATTTTTAACTTCATTTTCCTTCCCATTTCCTACCCCAAAAAAATTAAAACACAAACAATAAAACAAAATAATGATCGAAATCCGTAAGCGATGAAACGTTCTCAGCGATATAAAAGCGACGACTAAGATGTATTTGGTATTTTGCTCGGTATTTTGGTTATCTATTTTGTAGTCAACAAGTTATCAGCTAAAATAGAAAATTATTTTGGCATTATGTTATAAATCTATATTATGACTGCTGATTGTCTTTATTATGGAATGTGGAACGATAATAATATTAGGATGCGGATAATATTCGGATATGATGCAAAAAACTCGGGCCGCAACTATAGTATGTAGCTACATGAACAGATTTTAGAATATAGCTTTTTAGCAATTTTAAGAAAGTTCATAACTAATTTGACTGAAGTAATAAATATATTATAATTAAAAACGTAGATTGGAACTATATAAGTAAATTATGTTTAAGGTATTATTAACATAAATGTTGGTGTGGTTTAAACGAAAATGTTAAATATTTTCAATTTAATAACAACAATGTTA